ATATATTTCGATGACCATTGGCAGAAACATCCTTTGGGTGTTCAATCATGCCAATGTTTCCAGAAGCAACTGCACAAACTTTCAAGGACATTTTGAGTTGAGAGATCTGATGTGTTGGAACGACAGTTTTATTGTTGTACTACCTCACGGGTTCTCTAAGGGCTTACTCACCATTGGACTGATGACTTATATGACTCTGACTGCAGATGCGAGAAGAACTAGTGCAGAAAGTTCTTGTCTGAGCTGTATTGCCTAATAATAGTAACAACTTATACGAGATTTGAGGCCAACTCCTGAGATGGCCTGAAATACATGATATCCTAAGTTCAGGTTCAAGTACTCAGAAGTGATCAGGTAGAAAATTGCAGGCAAACACGATGCATACAGCCGACACCTGGAAAAGAAGCTCAAAGCCATTACCCCATATTGTCACACATCGACTCAAAGTCTCAAACCCATTCTTTTACACAAGGCTTGATGATGAAAGCGGCTTTTTTTGCGAAGCAGTTTTTCCAAATTGTCACGAATTCCACTATCGACAACTGCAAGGAGTGAGTTAGAAAAACTTATATAGACGAGCGCTTCATTAGTGAAACAAGTCGGACCCGCCGCAGGCCTGAGGTGGGGATGAGATGAAACGCGAAGGAGGGCCATGTCACAGGGCCGCTGGTATAGTGAACCCAGAGAGTCAACCCCCCCCCCCAACCCCGGCAAAAAGAAAATTAAAGAAAAATGAAAAAAAATCAACGCTAAGCAAAACCCGAACGCACCAGGCAGTTCTCAACGTGAAGATTAGCATGTCCCCTGTGCGAGGATGACCCACATAAATCGAGAAATGCTCCAGTCTTTAAAAAGTTTTTAACTTATTTCTGGATGGAACTGCGGCCAGATGCATATAATTCCGGCCGTAAATGCGGTCGGGTACATTTAAGATAGTGGTAGTGTAAGTACGCCCTCAGTTGGTACACCCTTGAACCGTTCCCACTCCACTGGAAGCAGATGAGCAAAATACCACAATTCACCAACGGGCCTATCTCAGTTGGTACACCGCTGAACTGTTGAAATACAGACTCAAGTTCGCATCCAGTCCAGACTCCAGATACCTTCAGATGAAAAGAATAAGATCATTCTGAATTGCCTGGGGCCAGTCAGTTCAATGATGGTATCTAAAGGCCGTTGCCATGATGATCACATCCCCAGGCCGTCAGAGAGAAAAATAAATAAATAAAAAAAATTGGCGGTGTATCTTTCCATGTTCCACAGGGGGAGGAGGATTCATTCTCATGCTAAACATGGTGAACATGGAAAGATACACCGCCAACTTCTTTTTTGTCTTTTCTGCATGTGGAGAGTCGTGCAGCAAAGGTCCTGGGCCCCCTAACGAATCCTCCTCTAGAACATGGAAAGGTACATCGCCAAACTGTTTTTTTGTCTTTTGTGCCTGTGGAGGGTCGTGGAGCGAAGGCCCTGGCCCTGCCACTTGCAAAGAGAACGACAAAAAAAGAGAGAAAAGACGGGAAACGATTAGACCCTGGCCCTACTGATTACGAAGAAAACGACGCGAAACCATTGGGACTTCTGAAAAAAATGAATACTCCCTTAGAACATGGAAAGATAGATCGCCAAACTTTTTTTTGTCTTTTGTGCATGTGGAGACTAGCGGGTGAGGCTTCAAACGACTACTTCCAACACCGCGCCTACCTTGCTATGTGCTTGCATTCGAACATGGGTAGCAGCCAGCCACACGAGTAGCAGTTTCTGCTGCGCACCCCCCCCCTCTCCCCCCCCCCCCTGCCCCCTGTCTTAGCGTTTTCCCAAGGCTGTAAGTCGGGCCTCAGGGGGGCGTCACGCGAGACCCGCTGCAGTCTTTAGTAAGAGTATAGATAAAAGAGAAACAAGAAGAAACAACTGGCACGAAGACTTGTGTTCCTATGTTGCCGTTTTCCTCCTGCAGTTTTGTATAGAAGTTCACAGACCAGGTAGGTATTTACTTTTTTTTAATTTTTACTATTAGTATTTCCACCTCGTCATTGGTGCAGTTGTTGACTGGCGTATGGGCCCATATTTCTTCTTCTACTCATGTGGATGTGTTTTGTGTACTTTTCTACTATGTTTCTCCCATTCTTGTACTTGGTTGTACCTCGCTTCACTCATGCATGTGTTTTGTCTGGTGTAATGGGCCCATATTTCTCTGTAACTGTTTCACATGAAATTGACACAGCCAGAACTTCAGAGTCACTGTAGAAGGCGTCCACTTCGTAATGCAACTTGTCGATAAGTAATAACATCTGATCTCTGGTCTAACTTCTTCTTATGTCATTCGTTCCATTGGGATTCGAACTGAGGTCTGTAAGCCAACAGTTCGTGGGCGTATCAGCTGAGTTTTGTAGGCCCGTTTGGGACCTCTGCCGCAGCTTTCTGGAGCAATGGGTGCATGCTTTTCTGTGCCGATTGCCATGGATTAACGCATAAGAGCACATCCAGGGAATCGAAATCTAGCACGGCCAGGGAATCCGAATCTCACTGAATTTCTTGCTGCAAGTCTTCAATTTTATAGTGTGTTAATATAATATGAAACTCAATCAATGATATGCGCAAGTCTGCAATCCAACCTCAGGACCTTCTAACCTGAACCCTTTTTTTTTTTCTTTTTTTTTTTTAATAATTTGGACCATTTCTCGATTTATGCGTGTCATCCTTGGAAGCGCAGGGGCCAATCTTCCTTCTCTGTATCGTTCCAAATTCCAATCCTTTTAACGGATTCTCAAAGGACACTAAACTGAAACCTAACCAAGTTTCGGCCCTGGATCATCATGAACTCTTTTTTTTTTTTGCAAGCTACTGGACCTTTCTAAGCCTACTACTCTGGTCTTTTGGAAGTCCACCTGGTGCCCAATTTCAGTCCTGCCCCCCTGTAGTTTTACCTGTGTCTGATCTACCCCCCCTACCTCCCGGGCCACAGACAACACAGCACGAGAACACAGTGTGCTCACGGCATGATCACAATCACCACATGGAGACTTGGAAACACCCAAACAAACAGCAATCACACTCAGAAGGAGGAAATCTCAGGAAATCAAGCCAACAAACAGCGATACTCGGGAACTGCAGAAATCTGGGAGTGATGCTCTCTGGGTCATTGCAGAGGGAAGTAAGGTGGTTTAGCTATATGTGATGGATTCATCTTTTCTGTGTCAATCATGCTTTGTGATTGGATCCTATCTGGCTTGGTGAGTGTTTTGGGCATATACCATGCTCTTCACTTGGGGACTATATGCTTAGACACAAGGGTAGCAATCAAAGCGGACTTAAAACGTTTTTGCGATGTTAGGTGTGCAAGTTTAGGCTGGACAAGTGTGTTCTAGTGTGTTTATGGTTCGAGAAGTGTGTTCCAGTGTGTTTTTGCAGTGGGATACTTAGGCTGGACAAGTGTGTTCTAGTGTGTTTATGGCTCGAGAAGTGTGTTCTAGTGTTTTTTTTTGCAGTGGGGTACGTCTAAACCTATGTTGGTTTTCTCCATCACGAAGCCTACTGACAAAGCGCTTCTATCGGGAAATACGTTCTGGACTCGTGGAAGTTGTGGTGTATTTTTGGCTTCCTGGCACTTGTCTACCAGAAAGCCTGCTGATAAAGAGCGGCTATGTTGGATCTTGAAAGGCACCTGGCTACCATATTCAGGTTTGGGGGGGGTGGGGGGGGGGTATAATTTCCTCCAGTATGAACCATCCAGCAACTGATCTGATCTTCTGCAACCAGTTTCCTGAGTGATCGTTCAAGGCTTGGCATGTGTCGCTGTCCCGGAATGTGTGTGCACTGCTTGGCTGCGGACTGTGGTGTGTGCATGTGTCTGTGTTGTAGAACAATCAGTGAACATCAAACCCTAATCCTCCCAACAACGAAAAGGTAAAATTCGAGTCCAGGTTTGTCCATGTGGTGGAGTGTGAAGTTTGCACACATCCATCTGCTAACACACAGCTGCAGTAAGAAGGACAAACCCACAAGTGCACCCTTGAAAAAAATGATTCACACCACGAGAAGCGCCTGCCTAAACACAACCAATCGCCACCGGCTTGAGCGCGGGGAAAACGTTGAGACTACGCGGGTGAGGAGAGGCGGAAAAACGTGCGGATTCGCCCACTGGGTACCGGCGTCAAAAACGATTCATTGACCAATCTGCACTTGAACATCCACAAACAGTCACATAGTCAGCGATAATCACCGTACGTCTGAAGACCTCTTGCCTGGAGCGAAGACCGGAATCACCCTCTCCCCACTACACGGTTCACAGACGCAAATGATCTTTATTGTACCGCAACGATGAGGGTGCACTGGATACTCCGATCTCTCTTGTGTCATGCTGCATAACTCTGGCGAAGACACACAAAAGTATAAACAGCTCACCATCAGCAAAAGAAGACGCCATTCAGTTCACTTCAGAGTACAATGGCCTGCACCCACCGCTTGCGTGGAACATAAAATGTTTGTGTAGCACTGAGGTCAGCCCCAATTCGTACCAATAATTCAGCCCACAGGAACTTCACCTGCAGCACAAGCCCGCCCACACTCATCCCGTCACGCCAGATGACTACCCACAACTAGGTCACATGCCTTGAGAGTTGAAACCCTTCCATGACACTGAGAGCGACACTGCCTATTCAGTGTATTCACCCCAGCTGTGGCTACCGTTGTGCTTGAAAACAGCAGTTCGCGGGAACCACACCCACAGCAAACACCCTCGGAGCCTCCTTGTGAAGGTCCCATGGCGAAAAGACAATGGATACTTGCTTGAAGGTCTGCAACATTGTGTGTGTGTGTGTGTGTGTGTGTGTGTGTGTGTGTGTGTGTGTGTGTGTGTGTGTGTGTGTGTGTGTG